CTTCGGTTTGATACCCATATTGCAATATTTAAACTATCTTATCAATTAAATTAAACTAAAAATTTCAAACAGCTGGCAACCTTCAACAAAATTTTTTCGGCTGTAAGCCCTCTTAAACCTCTTTCCTTGGCAGCTAAATTGCCATATTTGCTTTATCTTATCAATTTACTTAAACTGCAAATTTCAAACAGGTGGCAACTCTCTAATTTTTTTTTTTGTATATTTTAAGTTAGACTTCTAGCAATACACCAGTGAAAACTGCATTAAATTCTGTATATTAGTTTTCGAGTGATGCGCGTACAAACATACTGACAGACAGACAGACAAAAATTCTAAAAATTTTTGATTTGGCTTCTGTTGCCCCAATTAATGTTAATTTTTCTTTAAAATCTATAATGTACAGACATCGGTTTGCTGCAATTTTATTTGCTCATCTGAGATGAGGTGAATTGATATTAGTTTAAGTGTGTTGAGTTAAGGTGGAGTGAGTTGAAGGGTGTTACCATGAGTTTAGGTGAGTTGTTGAGGTTTGTTGGGTTAAGGTGAAATAAGGTGAGTCGGAGTGAGTAAAAGGTGATTTGGGGTGACTTCAACTGAGTTAAGTTGAGATGCGGTGAGATGAAGTCAGGTGAGCAATATAATATGACATAAGATATCGCCGTTTACAGTACAATGGGCAAAGGGAATGGAAATTCAGTTCGAAGTATTTTCTTTCGTAGAAGCTCGAATAACTATTTGTTGAGCCTCTAGTGTGACCTCTCTGCAGGAATGATGTGCAGATACTCATTGGTATTTCCAGGTTTTGCCGCTGTAGGCGATGCACCAGTTTGTCGATATGCATCGTCACCTGCGGCTCCCAAATACGGACCCTAAGCGACATAAATATAATTAGGTACTTAAAAATTTTGCAACCATTACAACAAGCCCGATTGTCTGGATATTTAAATAATGTCAAGCTTTTTAATTAGACTTCTTACAATGATTTTCAGCATGCAGTTTCGTAGCCTATACAATTTTAAAGTAACAAACTAAAGAAATAACTGCAATTAAATAGCAAAAAGAATATTTGGTGCGCTTATAATTATGATACGGAGTGTAGTTTTTCCCCCTATAACTCACATTAAATGATTTTTAAAAGTACATTCCAAACTGTAGCAATAAATAAATATTTACATCATGCCAAAAATAAAAAACTCAAATGCAAATAAAAATATATCGTCGAATAAAAATTCAATTACATAAATAAGCTTATCAACGCAGCATGAGCGGAATGCAATTTTCGGCTTAACATTTGCTTTTGGCATTTGCAAGCTCAGCAAATCGTTTTTATGTAGATATTAAAAAAAAAAACACAAAAAAACATGCACAAATATTTCAAGCTCAGTTAGTTTTTTTAATCTTTATGAACGTAGCTACAAAAAATCGTAGATATTTTTTTTTTT